TGCTATTTCTCCCTTTAACTTCAATTTTCTTCCAAAGAATATACAAGAAGTTTATTATGTTATTATTTTCATAAAGCTGTGAGCCTCATTTGCAGTTTTTAATAATCATTCAACAATTAGGTGTTATTGTTCTAATCTTTCTAAACTTTTTTACTTTAATTTAGAGTTTATATTATATTATTATATTCTCTTTATTTTATGTGATAGTTGATTTATTTGAATTAGAAATTTTGATTGTTGATGTTATATTAGCCATTTAAAAAATATAAGATAATTACAATAGCTAAATATTTTTGTACCTCATAATAAATATTTGAATATGTCAAATCAAAAATATAAATCTAGTTATTCAAAGTTAAAAAGAAAAAGAAGAATTGAAAGTTTAATACAATCTCAAAAAGGAGTACTTGATAAATTTTTTACAAGTAATAAAAATAATTAATCATAAATTATTAATAAATATCCCTTAAAAGAACAAGTTAATAATCTTAGAGAGTTAGATGATGATGAAATACTAGAGCAAGAAGTTAATGAAGAGATTCAAAATGATCATAGAAATTATGAAGAGATTCAAAATGATTATAGAAATCATGATAAAGAAGATCAACCTATTTGTTTAAATGATTGCATTCCTAAAAATATTTATGATGCAACTCAATAGACAAATATTGATCTAAATTTAAGAGATTTATTAGTAGAAAAGATCCAATTAAAGTCAATGATTTAGATTTTCCTAAAGATGAATTTTCAAGATATTTTTTTGCTACATATTATATTCAAAAGTTGGCAAATGAGAAGACAAATGAAAAAAGATAACTAGTTTATTCAAAACTCTTAGATAGAGTATTTTGTTTTTGTTGCAAATTGTTTAATTTGACTTCTAGTACAAGTAAACTAGCAAATATTGGCATAAGAGATTAGAGAAATCTTAGTGCTAAGCTTAACAGTCATGACATGACTCATTTGAATATTTCGCTTTAGGCCTTTAAACTTATTGAGCCCTCTTGGGTGGTGTATAAAGGTCTTTGGATTGATTTGAAAAATTATTTAGAGAGATTTATTTTAGTTTAATTTTTCAATAATAGAAGAACTCTTTTACTTCGTGAACATAAGTAAGAGGTTGAACCAAGTAAATTTTTGTATTTTCTATCTATTTGATTTCTTTAGATGTTATCTTTATTATTATTTTGGGTAATTTTAATAACACATATCAATTTCCTACATGATTATTATCTTGTTAGAGTTTCTTTCTTTTTGTTTTTTTTTTTGTCAAACTATAAATTATAAATGATTATGATGATGAAATACAAAATGCATTTTGTTAATTTGTTATGACTATTTTTTTAAAAATCAAAGAAGACCATGGAATATATATATAGCACTTAATTTACGAGGAGGGTGGGCAATTAACAGTGTTTATATAGTACTTATATTATATTTCTTTTAGGTTGATATTTGATATACTATTAGTGTATGCTATTTATACACTATCACTTAATAACAAAGTGTCACCTCATAAATGTATAAAGGTAAAAATTTAAAAATTTTTCAACATGAATATTTTAAAATTATGAACATTATTTTTAGGATTGTCAACTTCTAAATTTATTTATTAATGAGGTGACAACATTTAGTTAAATAGTAATATATAAGTATTAAATATTGAAAACGGATCAAATATAAATTTCTTTTTCTTTTCGTAATCTCATTTATATTGTCACATTTTAATCTTCTATAGTTAAAAGGTCAAAACAAAAAGTCAAATTATGACTAGATGATAAAATGAAGGGAGTAATACTACGATAAAAAACTAAAAAAGATTTTATTAATTTTTATAAGAATTTTTGTATATGCAAAATTTAAAATTAAAATCAATTAGTTTTCAATATAAATATTTTTTTATTGTAATACATGAAGTACATATGTTTGGTGCATCTTGACCCAATAGTTACTACATGTTTGGAAATTATATTGTTCAAAATACCCGAAAAGTCTCTATGCCCATGTGTTTTATTTAATTTAGTCCCTTTACTCCAATTTAAAACAATTTAGTCCTCACTTTAACATCATCCAATTGAGTCGTTAAATAAATTGACGTCAACACTGACATCTGGTAGTGTGGTGTACCCAAGAGACGAACACGTCAGATGTACTCTTACTGAGGTTTGAACCCAAAACCTATAGCAAGAATAAGCTCCTTACCATCATACCTAAATCTTTACTTTTAATAATCTTTTACTTTTTTTTCTCTCTTTTACTTTCTTTTTTTTTTTCTAAAATTACATCGCTTTGGAGTCTTTTTACACTCTTAAAAACCATAACTATAAAACTTTAATTATCACTGAGAGAAAAAAAAGAAGAGTTAAAAAGAGAGAAAGTAATAAAAAATAAGAAAAATATGCTTTTAGAGTTAAGGATTTGGAGAGTATAAGAAAGCTGCAAAATGAAGTAGTTTTAAGAAAAAAAATTACCAAAAGTAAGGGTTAGGCATCATGGTAATAGTATTCTTACAAGAGGTCATGGGTTTGAACTTTAGTAAGAGCATATCATATTTTGAAGAAGAAAAGAGTAACATGGTAGTCTATTAACATGTCATGTGGCAGTGCCACATTAGCATACCGTTATCCCACACCACATCAGCAAAAATATATCACATCAATGGTACGTCAATATTGACGTTATCCTCTTTAATGGCTAAATTGAATGCCGTTAAAAGAAATAATCAATTCTTAAAATCAAGCAATTATATTGCTTCAAATCAAAGTTGAGGAACTAACTTGAACAAAACATATGCAAATAGAAGATCTCTCAAGTATTTTGACCAAATTATAGTAGAACAAACAAGCGAATTTTGTGCAAAAGGAGTGTGTTTTATCTTCCTTTCAAAATAAAAGATAAATAATATATTAAAGAAGGATTAAATGAAAATTTTTAAAAAATTGTGGGGGACCAGTAAGGATCAAAATGAAATGCAAAGAAAAATTGATGGGCCGAAAGGTGGTGTTAGAAAAGCAGTTTGCCAACCCTCGGCTGTGTCTCTGATTCGGTGAAGAATGACATGAATCTCGCGACAAATTACAATAATTTGCTCATTAGCCATAAATGCCGAAAAAATAAGTAAACCTACTCTTAAAAAGGAGAAAAGAAAAAGTACTCCTTATGAACACTAACAACGATCCTTGGTCACTTTCTTTCAATCCAGATGTAGACATGGTTGGTTGGGTCCCGTGGTCCACGCCATGGAAAAGAGTGGATCACATCCATCCCTTATTTTTGGAATAAATCAGATCAATTATACTGTCAGATAGGTTCATTGAAAAATTATACGAATCATGCTATTTGTCACATTTTTTTATCTTAAATATTTGTAATTTGAATATCTATTTATTGAATTGATTCAGAGATCACGAGCCTACTAATTTATATAGATATACAGATAAAATTTTATAATAAAATCAATAAATTCCTATCACACTAGATGAGACAATCCAGAATAAAATCTTGTATAAGAGTGCTATATTTCTTAAAAAAAAATAAAATCTTATCAAACATATGGGGGTCCATTTTGCATTAATATCACAATCAATTTTATTCTACATTGGAGAATTTTCAGCTATGTTATAAGTTGGCTGACCCATTTTGCCAAAGAAGAAAAATCTATACCTCGGCTTTAAGCTTAAACTGATTTCTAAAATTAATTAAATATCCTAATGGTGGATAGGAGATAATACATTTAAGATCTCCATATATACTCTGTCAAGTTAAGGTCCAAATGAGCCCCATCCTGAGGCTCATGGAGGAACGATGTTTCCAGACTAGTAGCACTTTTCCTAACATAAGATCTCACTCTCTAAAGGGCTCTGAGGTTCATGTGCTGGGCTCACACCTTGGATGAATGCAGCCGCCCCTAATTTTTAAAATTTACTGTCTCCTTTTAATGAGGTGGGTGGGCAACTGTCCTCTATTTGTTGAAACCTGCCACGATTGGTCTCCTATGTAGCCTACCCTTTAAACTATAGCATGAGTTTGGTACTTTTCATTGCTTTCCTGAAGCATACTAACATTAAGTTGATGCAGTAATTTAACAGGTTTAAGTCATACATGATCACTCTATTATGCACTACAGACCTTAATAGTTAAGATATTTGTTAGAAGTATATTTGTGACGTGTTCATTTTAAATTAGATCGCTTTTAGTAATTTTTCGTTAATGACGACTAAAATATATTAATGAAGCAAGTTTTATGGCACATGGTTGGTCAAGGACCAGAAAATCGTCCAGGGAAAAGTAGAATATCTGGGATGACAAGCAATGTCGTAGGTGTTGTACAGCAAAATCAATAGAAAATTAAACTTGTAAAAACATTAAATCTCAGTGGTAAAACGTATTACACAACAGTTAAAATGCTCCTCTTCTGCCATCTGCTTTTCCCTAGTGAAAGTTAAAAATGGCAGTGTCTATTAAAAACTGTATAACTAGGCTTTTTGCCAGCAAAAACAGTAAATGACTTGAATTGAATCCTTTCCTGTCAATAGGTATTAGGTGTATGGAAAACACAGTCTAGAAAATTAACAGAGTGCACCAAATAGCCAATTTAACCCGACGTTTCCCTTAAGTCATTATATCACAAAGATAAAAGAACGCTATCAACAGAACCAAATATCACATCATTAACTCCTCGAAGCTCTTTGTCTGAAGTTGTAATAAGTGATTTTGCTGTGTGTTTTATGTTGACATTAGATTTTTTTTTTCTCTCTCGTGCTCTGCTTCGATGTCAATGATTCTTTTCCATTGATGAATTTCAGTAGGATAAACAACTTACAGCTAGATCCTCTCAAGGCCTATTAATTACCAAGAAATTAAGAGCCGGCCGATGAACTGGTTGACAACTACACAGATGGTAACAAGCATTAATAAGGAGACCCTACAGGGACAACACAGAAGCAATAAAAAAGATAGAAATGGAAAACCCTGGAAACCAGACCACAGTCTTTTGATGATCTACGAATTTAGCTATACCAATTTCTTTTTTCCGTGTACAATCAGAACACGAATAGCGTTTTCTATTAACACTCCAGGTTTATTTCAAGGGCTAATCCAACCTGTTGTTTCCAAACTGTTTTTCCCCTGCTTGGGGTACATTAATTGATACATAAATAAGCATCATATGAGGTATCTATGCAAATTCATGATTTTAAAAGAGAAGAAAAGAAAAATGGAAAAGGATACAGTATGGCAGAGACAAATGAGTAGATGCTATGAGAAATACACAGGAGAAATATAAATGCAGAGATCCAGAGGGATCAGAACTTCAAGATTTTAGCAAATTACTGAAACCAAAGAAGCTAACCCATCATTCAACCCATTTTCTTGTAGCCTAGAGCTTGACAACTTCAGGGATATGAGCTGGGTACCTATCAATGCAATCCGCCCAAGGCCCGTCTGTTGGGGTTTTGATGGTCCTGTTGCACTTCCATACTGCACTGTTACACTTGAATCCACTTCCAAAAGCTATTTGCCAAATCCTATCTCCCCTTTTCATCCTCCCCTTTGCTTCAATGTAGCTCATTTCATACCACAATGATGACGACGATGTATTTCCGAATCTATGCAATGCCATCCTGGATGCCTCAACGTGCTCTGCGGAAAGCTGCAGGTTCTTTTGCAATTCATCTATGACTGCTCGCCCACCAGCATGGATGCAAAAGTGCTCAAACGCCTGCTTGAAGTCTGGAATATAAGGCTTCCACTTGGGGTTGAAGATTTTACGGCCAATGAGAGTGAGAAGAAATAGGAGCTGTTCAGATGCTGGAAGAACCAAAGGCCCGATGGTGGTAATGTTAGATTTTAAAGCCTCTCCAGCAATAGCCATGAGATCCTTAGATAAAGATATCCCAACTTTGCCTTCTTTGTCCTCTTCTTCATACACGCATCGATAGGCCTTGTCATCAGCACCTTTGTGGGTTCGAACAACGTGCACAAGGCGGTACTTGGCACGCCGCCTCTCAGAGCGGCGGTTCGATAGGAGGATCGCGGCTCCACCCATACGGAAGAGACAGTTGGGAAGGAGCATCGCTCTTTCATTTCCTTTGTAGTAGTTTGGAGTGATTATCTCTGTGCTGACAACAACCGCATTAGAATTCGGGTGTACTTGGAGAAGATCGCGAGCTAAATCAATGGAGATAAGCCCTGCACTGCATCCCATTCCGGAAAGATTGAAGCTTTTTATGTTACTCCTCAGCTTGTATTTGTTGATCACCATAGCAGACAAAGATGGCGTTGGAGAAAAGAGACTGCAATTGACAATAAGAATATCTATGTCTTTAGGTTTCAGCCCCGTTTTCTTGAACAGAGAATCCATAGCCGAGAAAATAACAATCTCAGCCTCGCCTCTTGCAGCTTCCATGTTTGGAGTTGGAGGGATGTAATGGATAGCAGGAGGCAAACAAGTCTCTTCACCGAGACCAGACCTTTCAAGAATCCTCATCTGAAACTCGACGCTCTTAGGATTGTTGCTCAAGATCAGCCTGGAGTGCTCCATGAAGGTGGCAAAGGGAACCCGGCAAGTAACGGGAGGTTTGTAGCATGCATAATCCACAAGGTAGATGCTTCTTGGCTTGGACATGAAGTAAACAGTGGCGATGAAGATGATAAGGAAAGAAGAGCACAAGATTTGAACAAGATCAAAGTGAAGCGAATTCCATAGGTTAACAATCTCTTCGGGGCCTAAACGAAGAACTTCAACAAGAACCCCAGCCATAACAGGTATAAGCGTAAGTGTGAGAATGTGATTGACGAGGTATTGGTAACCCAGCTTAACATACTTAAGCTTAACTGAGCTAGAGAAATCTGGCAAGATTGGAGGCATTTCTGCTAAGCAGAGTGAGACACAAGGAGGAGCAAAGCCAAGAGTAGGAAGGGGGAAAGTTGTTGTTTGTGGGTGAGAGAGAGAGAGGAGAAGAGGCTGGATATAATAGGCGAGAGGGAGGAAGGGGGATTTAAAGGCAACGGGACCAAAAGCAATGAAGGGGGCAGATGAGAGGATTAAATGAAGGACGCCCGTCACTCAACGCTCAGTTAACTCGAAATTAATTTTCTTAACTCCCTAGTGTCCGAGTTGTAACTAAATCCTTCCTTACACCAATGAGGTCTCCTTCGGTGTATCCGTCTCCTGTAATTTCGTGCTTGAGCTCTTTTTCTCATTAATTAAGCAATGATGGGGTCCCCTTTTACTCCTCCACACTCTTTCTCCTCAAGTAATTATGAAATTAATTATATATATACATATATATCCTTCTAAATTCATTCTTCATTTTCTCTTTTTTCTCCCATCCAAAAAACACTTTGATCATTACCTACAATTTTAAATTTGCAGTTAAAATTTCAATCTATAAATTTTGAAAAATCCTATATTCAAAATCTATAAATCTTATTCTATTAAAAGATTTTAATTTTACATATTTTCACAAAAAAAATTACACTCAAAATTGATTAAATTTAATCTAAAAAGATGTAAAGTAGACATTCAAGAGTGTTTCTTTTCCATACATATAATTCTGGATTATATAATCAAATTGCTTTTCTCCCATTCCATAAAAATGATCTTTTTTTTATATTCCAGATTTGAATTTGTGACTTTCAAATCTGTTTTAGGGGTGTTAATTGTTGAGTCATCCCCTTTAGGACATCTGGGTAATAAACTAAAGAATAGGTTTTCTATTTCTTATTCCTTAATTGATAGTATAGTTTAATTACATAATAGGTTATTTAATAATTATGTGCCTATTCAGTTCAAAATAAAATAAAGCGTAAGAATTTATTTTTATTTCAGAAAATGTAAAAGTGTTATTATTAAAAAAATTCGACAGTTTCAAACATGTGAAAAGAAATCAACAGAACCAAAGATGGGAGAATAAAAAAGGTAGCATAAAGGTATAAAATCATCATAGTATTTAACCATAATATCTAACAAAACTTCTTTAATTATTAAGAAAAATTCAAATATATTCTTATTCTTTTACTGTATTTAATCAAATTCTTATATTTTTATTTTTATTTATCATTTTACGTCACATAAATCTTTATGATTAATAATTGATTAAATATTACTAATTAAATTACTATTTATCATTTTATATAGTGTGAAGTCGATGTGACATAATGATATATAATAATAAATAATAATGTGATATATTAATATGAATAATGAAATAATCACATGATCTTTTTGACATTCCACTCAACATTACGTGACATTAAAATGATAAGTAATATTTAAATTAATAACAATTTATTAATAATTAATCGTTAAGACTTATTTAATCTAAAATAAAAAATAAAAAAACTTTATTGAACACAATTGAAAAATAAAAATTTTCATGAGTTTTTTTAAGTATTATATTTCTTAATATTTAATTAAATCAAGAACATAAAACCAACTTATAAATATACGGATGAAGATTTTAGACTCTTAAGTTATGTATAAAAGTAAGTAATAGGTTAGCTGTATCTTAATAATACATCAGGTCAAATTTAATAAAAAGACAACGTAGATGGATATCAATAAATGTATTTATTAGATAATGAATTCACGTACTTAAAAAGTGAAAATTTCTTCAAAGGTAAAAGCCTTTGGTTTTTATTAATGATTTGAAAATTTTGTCTTTTATGATCCAAGTGGCACTTCCCAATCCTCCATTGGAGGGCATGGAAAGATAATGACTTGTGGCTTGACCAGGCTGGAATTGTATTCACTGAAAATTGAAGGAGCCGCTCCCTGCGTAAGTCGATTTTTGATGGAAGAAATTGCAGCAGACACTAAATGTATTGGACTATCGCAACTGCAACTCGACAAATCATAGGGGAGTCCATTAATGTAACGTAAGACGAGAGAAAAGTCAAAGTAAACGATCCGTGATCATCATTTTTCTAGGAAGGAGAGGATGCAGAAAGAGTAGTTTGCTTTCTTTTTTTTCTTTTCTTTAAGATTTAATTATTTGTGTTAGTCAATTGGGCTCAATTGATTGCCACTTGATAATTTTTTTTACTTGGCTAGATAAAAACAAAAAACAAAAAGAGAGAGAGAAATAAAGGGGAAGAGAAAGAGACGAAAGGAAAGAGAGAAGAAGAGAGAGTGAGAGAGTTGCTGTGCGCCGACGATAAACCTAGCGCAAGTGACAGCAGACGGAGCAACGCGGAGAGTGAAAAAGGAGAGAGCGAGAGACTGAATTAAGATTAGGAGAAATGACAACAAAAAAAAAGAAAAGGAAGGCTATTGACGAAGCTAGGGCCTCTCATTACAATCGAACAACAAAGAGGACCTATTAACGGGAGATAAGAGTCGACTGCTGTCGAGATCAGACCCAAGTTCCTTGGTTTATGTCTAATTTCAAAACATTCATTAGGCCAAGTCTAAATATCAGTCCAAGAAAAAAAAAAGGGAAATCTCTCTCAGTTTCTTTTATTTTATTATTATAGTGTAATCATGTTAGGCGTATAAGACACAATTATTTGATGTATGAATAAAATGTAAAATTAATTTCTATTAATAATAAATGATGAATAAATGTATTATTTGTAAATATAAAATTATATTTTAATTTGTAAATATAAATCTCTAAAAGTAATAGATATTTTAATGGTTAGGGCCAGAGCTAACCAACTTTTATTGAAGGGACCACAAATAGAAAAATAAAAGTTTAAAATTTTAAAAACTAATATGTTGAACTTAACCAACAATCAAAAAATGATAATAAAATATAATTTTATATAACACGTAAATAAAAAAAAAAGACTTACAATAGTTCAAAAGTTGTGCTTGACTATATTTCTTGGATTCAAATTTATCAATTATTAATTATGTATTGAGAAACATCCATTTCTTTAGGATTGAGCCTTGGATGTTATGATTCATATTGCTCTTGTTCAGCAATTGAAGCATTGAGGCTTGGTGGCTTAAGTGTAGAATTATTTAGATGATTTGCATACTTTCGTTTAAAAAATTTGTCAATTGTTTTCAACTTACTCATATTTTAATCAAATTTGAAAAAAAATTAATGCAGTCAACCTTCGATATTCTTATGTTATTTCTGTTTAAACTTATAATACTAAGTACAAAACTATAATACATAAAACTAAGTAGTTAAATACAATATACACGATTGATAATTTCCTCTTATATGATCAAATGTTTAAAAACTATATATTCAAGATAATTTCCTTTCAACTAAATATAAAACATAAAACATAAAAAAAGGATATATTCAAGATAATTTCCTCTTATAGAAGTAGGATTAGTAAAAAAAAATACATTAATGAAATTTTAAGCAAAAGTGAAACACTACAACTTATATTTAAAAATTACATAATACTTTATTAATTTTTAAAGATTAAAATCATCGAAAATAAAATCCATAAAGTAGAAAAAAGAAGAATCTGGCTAGTATAAGATAGAATCCACATATCACATAACAAAAAACAAAAGAATATGGTTGATAGTTCATAGAAATTTAGAGAAGATAATCTATTGAAATTTAAAACATATGAACAAATAGAATAGAAATGAAAAAAAATAAATATAAATATAAATAATAATATAAATTGAGAGAAGAAAGCAAAAAAAAAAACTTTAAAATTGAGAAATGTGAACTCATTTTGTTATTTTTTATTTGTATTAATTATTAAATAAAAAATTATTTTAAAAGCACCGTTAAAGAAATATATAAAAAATTTTAAAAATTTTATATAATATAAAATTTTTTTTAAAACTTTTGGAGGGGCCTTGGTCCCCTTAAAAGGAAAGGAGGCTCCACCCCTATTGATGGTTATTGTTCGAGTTAACTTGGAGACTACTACCGTATTGAAAACACAAATCAAAATTCTCAAATGGTGCTATTTCTCTTATTAAAAACAAAGTAAGTTAAAAAATTAAATATATATAGATTAGTTACATGCAAAAAGTTTAAAGTAAAAAGAAAAATAAAAAATATAGTAAAACAATTAGAAATTTGGTTTGAAAGATAAATAAGTTGAGAAAATAAAAAGAAAAAGAAAAATAAAGAAAGTGAGTAAGAAAGTGATAAAGAGGAAACCTAAAGAGAAAAAATTAGGGAAGAAAAGGATAAATAATTCTTGAAAGAGAAACCCATAAAAGCCTTGTAAAACTAAAATAATACTAATCAATTATATTCTTGAAAACTAATCCAAAAATCGCGTCAATTTTAAAAACCAGATATTTGGAAAAAAATTATTTTTTCAAAATCCAATATGAATGAAAATCTGGAATTGATATTATATGAGTTGGATGTGATAGTGAAAATTATTTATCCATAAATTTCATAATAAATAATAATATTTTGAAAGGACTGATTAGTAAAAATTGTTATGAAAGGAACTTTAGTGGTAATTCTTTCTTTTGCAAAGGTTGGTTGCAATGCATTCATGGATATTTGTCACATCTCATTTTTTGGAGGATTGTGATCGGCATTAGCTCATACGTGGATGTGGCCCACTAAGCCGTAATAAGCTTTTTAATCATCATTCATTTATATGTAGGCTTATTAGAGACCATCATCATCCATAAAAGCATTTATCACAATGAGTACACACATCCATACATGGGCATCACTACACAATTATGGAACTTCTCAATATAAAGTGTGTGAACGCATTTCATTAATAGCATTTGTAAACATACATATACATTTCATGACATCATTAAAATGCACCCTTGGTGATCATATGGGCCCTTATAACATTTGTACATTTCCATATAAAAAAATGCCATTCAGTGGCTCAGTAGTCAACATCAACAAGTATTTATAAACTAGAGTAATAAAGATCAACTCGTCAAGCGAAACATGACCCAACTCTCTGGGTTTTAAAAAGGCTATTATATGACCTACTGAAAGAAGAACGAATCACATCATCATGACTTTGGTGGCTGGTGAGCTACCACTGATTTGCAACAAAAAAATGAGAAATTG